ACTTAAACTCTCCAACGACCTGCTAACCGCCAAAGCTAATGGCCACTATTCAGTGCTCCTACTCCTTGACCTCTCTGCGCCTTCGACACAGTCGACCACCCCCTCCTCCTCAAAAACTACACTCCCTTGGCCTCAGAGATTCTGCTCTCTCCTGGCTCTCATCCTACCTGTCACAACGCTCTTTCAGCGTTACCTAGAATGCTACCACCTCCCCCTCACTCCCCATCTCTGTTGGGGTCCCTCAAGGCTCCGTCCTCGGGCCCCTTCTCTTCTCCATCTACACTTCCTCCCTTGGCCAACTCATACACTCTCACGGCTTCAACTACCATCTATATGCCGACGACACACAAATCTATCTCTCAACCCCCCACCTCACCCCCTCGGTCTCCGCCCGAATCACACGCCTACTGAGCGTCATATCAGACTGGATGTCGCTCCACTTACTTAAACTGAACCTCTCCAAAACCGAGTTTCTTGTCTTCCCCCCAGCCCGGACACCACCCCCCATTGACTTCTCCATCACATCCAACAACGCCACCATCAAACCCGCCCCGCAGGCCAGAGTACTTAGTGTCATTCTGGACTCCAACCTATCCTTCCAGCCCCAAGTCCAATCTTTAACAAGCTCGTGCAGACTCCACCTCCGCAACATCGCCAAAATACGCACGTTCCTAACCCCAGAAACCACTAAACAGCTCATCCACTCCTTCATCATATCACGACTCGATTACTGCAACTCCCTCCTCACTGGCCTGCCTCGCCGCTGGCTATCCCCGCTTCAGTCGATCCTGAATACGGCTGCCAGGCTCATTCACCATTCCAACCACTCCATTTCCGCCACCCCCCTCTGCCAATCCCTCCACTGGCTTCCGATTGCTCAACGGATCAAATTCAAAATCCAAACACTGACGTACAAAGCCATCAACCATACTGCCCTGAACTACATCACTGACCTAATATCCAAGTACCACCCAGCACGCACACTCCGCTCCCCACAAGACCTCCTTCTCTCTAGTTCCCTGGTCTCCTCCTCCCATGCCCGCCTCCAGGACTTCTCCAGGGTGTCACCCATCCTCTGCAACTCCCTGCCCCAACCCATCAGATTATCACCTACTCTCCTCTCCTTTAGGCGCACCCTGAAAACCCACCTCTTCAGGGAAGCCTACCCCACCCCCTGCTAACTTGCCAACCTCCTTCACTCTTCCTACCACCCCATCCCCCACGGCTATCTCCTCCTGTGCCACCATCCCCTCCCTCCTAGATTGTAAGCTTGAAAGCTCGAAACCTCGATTGTAAGCTTGAAACCTTGATCCCCTCATGTTTTGCATTGTATTGTTGTTGTTATGTCACATGTTCTGTCCCCCTTTGTAATGTACAGCACTGAGCGAACTATTGGCGCTTTATAAATACTGTATAATAATAATAATATCTTAAATTAAGATATATATATTTTGTAATATTGCTAAATTTTATGTATATCTGTTGATATATTTATGCATTACAACTGTTACCTGTTATTATAGAAAACTTTTTCCAATAAAACTGTAAACAAAAAAAAAGTAATTACATTTTCTTACAAAAATACTTTAAAATCCATAAAACAATTACATATAAGTGATAGAGACAAATATTTGCTGTACATAACTTTGTGATGTTGAAAGAAACCTTTGCACATAGGGGATGATTTACTAAAGGCAAATTGACTGTGCACTTTGCAAAGTGCAGTTGCACTCTGCAAGTGCAATTGCTCCAGAGCTTAGTAAATGAGTTAAAGCTTCTCTTTGCCAAGAATACCCAATTATTTGCAAGGAAAATTTTAAAAAAATTGCATTTTTTGCTTGCACATGATTGGATGATGGAAGTCAGCAGAGCTTCTGCTCATTTACTAAGCTCGGGAGCAATGGCTCTTGCAGAGTGCAATGGCACTTTGCAAAGTGCACAGTCTAATTGCCTTTAGTAAGTCAGCCTCATAGTCTTCTACATGTTTTGCCATCCTGGCTTCCTTAGGAAGTATACATGGGATACTACAGTAGTAAAAATACAGAACATACATATAAGATACAAAGTTTCATAGCACACTTTATAAAGGAAATTGAAAACTCAGTTATGGGTCAAAAAAATAAAAACAATCAAATGAGAACATATAAAAGTTTAGGTCAAACTCTACATGGGCGCAAACTCAAATCTCATCCCTAATCAATAGTCACAGGAATCTCCAAGTCAACAGACAATCATCCAAACATGAATGTGATTGTATGAGGATAAACACAAAAAAATGCTTCCAATAGTGACATATTATAACAATTTTTAACCCCCACCCCCCCCCCCAATCATTTTTCTGAAGTAATCTCATCAAAATTATTAGTTTTGCTGAATTATTTTACCCCTTCAAACCATTTCAGTGATTTTAAAGCACAGCAATGTGAATCTTGTACCATCAGCACATTTCTCTGGCAAGGCAAACACATATGTCACTTTCTAAACTGACCTCCCAAAGTAAGAAGGGGGCCTTAAAGTGGTTGTAAAGGCTCAAAGGTTTTTTACCTTCATACATTGTTTGCATGAAGGTAGAAAAACCTCATGTGTTCAGCAGCCCCCCCCCCAATACTTACCTAAGCCCGATCATGATCCAGTGATGTGCATGAGAGCCTAGGCCCTCCGGGGACTCTCCCTCCTCATTGGATGAGACAGCAGCAGGAGCCCAGGAGCCACTGACACCCAGTACTGTCAATCACAGCCAGTGAGCAGTGGTGTATTTAGGTTTCGGGCTGCCCTAGGCAACACAAAAATTGGCTCCGCCCACGAAGAGACCCTGACACCGACCAACACCCCCCTCCCCCACAAAGAAAGCCTGATATTGACCAACAACACCCCAGCCCCCCCACACACACACACACCTGAGTGAGCCTTCCACTGCCACCGCCCGCCATACACTGGCAATGCCCCCCCGACCCTTCGAGATAGAAGACAGTCAGCTACACAGCTCCGGACATCCCCGGCAACGAGTCAGGCTCTGCATACACCATCAAGCAGCCCACAGACTCTCTGGGATCCCACCTGGTGCATGTGTCCTTTCATCCATCCCTTCCTTTGGAGCGGCGCTGCCCCCCTGAAAAATGCAGCTGCGACCCTGAATGATGCTGCTGCCCCCCCTGAAAAATGCAGGCCTACACAAATGCCTTGTTTGCCCCTGCCAGTGACCCAATGAGGAGAGAGGGGGCAGAAGTGAGCTACGTCTCTGTACGTGAATAGACTTGCAGAGCAGCAGCTTGGGAGCAATCCTGCTTGAGTACACCCATAGCAAGCTACTTGCTCTGGGGGCAATCATCAGGAGGAAGGGGCCAGGAACGCTGGCAAGTGACCCGAGAAGGGGAGGATCAGGGCTGCTCTGTGTAAAACCACTGCACAGAGCAGGTAAATATAACATGTTTGTTATTTTTTTTTTATTAAAAATTGCCTTTAGTATCACTCTTACCTCCACAACATCAGGCTTTAACATCTGGTATGCCTATTGAGACATGCTATGGATTGGATCCCAAGTTCTCTGAAGTATTCCAACTTAACCACCAAATCCATATATATATCATAGCCTGGTGGAAATGTGACTTTCCTCACACATCTCCAAAAAAAAATGCCAATCCAAGACAATCTATTCGCAACATGGCATAAAAAGGAGTTTATCACACTCACAGAAGACCTTTCTGACAATCTCACAAGAATATAATCCCCTTGACCAGAACTCTTTTTCTTAACTATAAGGTGATAAGCATGCAATATTTTGCTGATAAAAGTGAAGCACAGCTTTGAATTCAATTTTTTTGGACCAGCTGCTCTAAAACCATACCTTGTCAATGTCATTGTTGTACCAACCACTTAGCGCCTTGTTTACAAAATCAGCAGCAAATACTTACCTAAAAAAAATGATCAAAGACTTCCCTGTTACAGACCTGGCAGACAAACTGCTGGCGGGCTACAAAAAAGGTTCTAACAAACAGGCTTTCAAAGGAGACACATTAAAAATACACCATACTACCAAACAAACCCACCTGTGTGAACACCACACTTTGGTAGAAAGTTCTTTAGCTGATCTCTTTAAGCTTTGACATTTTCAATTTAAATATTATTGTGTCACTGGTCTTTTCAGGATTGTTTTTCTCTGTTCTGTTTTACTTACTGTATTTTTCGCTCCATAAGACGCATTTTTTTTCCCCAAAAAAAAGGCACAGGAAGAAGAGGGAAGGACAACTCCGTGGAAGTGGGAGCGGGTACCTGTCAAATTTAGGTACCCGCTCCCCCTCCCTCCCCAAAGGTCAGCAGTCTCTGGTCATCTCCTGTACTATGTCCCTGGTATTTTCCCTGTACTATGTCCACAGTCTCTGGTCATTCCCTGTACTGTGTCGGCTGTCTCTGGTCATCTCCTGTACTATGTCCACAGTCTCTGGTCATCTGTACTGTGTCCACAGTCTCTGGTCATCTCCTGTACTGTGTCTGCAGTCTCTGGTCATTCCCTGTACTGTGTCGGCTGTCTCTGGTCATCTCCTGTACTATGTCCGCAGTCTCTGGTCAACTCCTGTTCTGTGTCCGCAGTCTCTGGTCATCTCCTGTACTGTGTCCGCAGTCTCTGATCATCTCCTGTACTGTGTCCGCAGTCTCTGGTCATCTCCTGTTCTGTGTCTGCAGTCTCTGGTCATTTTCTTTATTATGTCCGCAGTCTCTGGTCATCTCCTGTACTGTGTCCGCAGTCTCTGGTCATTTCCTGTACTGTGTCCGCAGTCTCTGGTCATCTCCTGTACTGTGTCCGCAGTCTCTGGTCATCTGTACTATGTCCGCAGTCTCTGGTCATTCCCTGTACTGTGTCCGCAGTCTCTCTGGTCATCTGTACTGTGTCCACAGTCTCTGGTCATTCCCTGTACTGTGTCCGCAGTCTCTGGTCATCTCCTGTAGTATGTCCGCAGTCTCTGGTCATCTCCTGTACTGTGTCCGCAGTCTCTGGTCATCTCCTGTACCGTGTCCGCAGTCTCTGGTCATCTCCTGTACCGTGTCCGCAGTCTCTGGTCATCTCCTGTACTATGTCCGCAGTCTCTGGTCATCTCCTGTACTGTGTCCGCAGTCTCTGGTCATCTCCTGTACTGTGTCCACAGTCTCTGGTCATCTCCTGTACTGTGTCCGCAGTCTCTGGTCATCTCCTGTAGTATGTCTGCAGTCTCTGGTCATTTCCTGTACTATGTCTGCAGTCCATTGGTTCAGAATTTTTTAATCTTGTTTTCCGCCTCTAAAACCTAGGTCGTGTGTGTTATGGAACGCGAAATACGGTATTTTCTCTCATCTTGACTGTAGAATGTTGATCTACTGCATACGGGTATATTTTGTATTTCTATGCAAAAAATTTCCAATAAAAATTATTGAAACATAAAAATACACCATACAGCATACATCACATTTATTGCCAGTAATTCCTTCTAAACAACATCACAATGTCCAAAATGTGACACATATCTTGATTCCCCACCTTGGAACCAGATTTCTGTGCAGGACAGACTGGAAAGCAACACTGTGTTTCAGGATTATCACAGCTTTGTCCTTCATGGTTGTACTGTGGAAACCCTGTCTTGGAAAGATTCATAGCCCTGTTTAATGGTGTTTCTCAGTGGATTCAGCTTATGGTGCTCAGCCAACCTTCCCCACAACAAAGGGCAGCTGTTATTAAGCAGTTTATACAAGTAGCAGAGAAACATCTAGAGCTGCAAAACTTTAACACCCTCATGTCTGTTGTTGGTGGCCTCAGTCACAGCTCTATCTCTCGCTTAAAAGAAACAGAGTCCCATGTTGGTGCAGAGACCACTAAGTTCCTAATCCACACTCTGACCAGAAAGAGAGGGGAATCTTCAGGATAATTACATATCTGCGTATTATCTATACGCTTCTGGTTAGTGCGCATTTCTGTCATTTTCACTGGAAAAACAACGAGCACCAATACAGGACTGTATTCCTTGTGTGATCTTCTATTTTTAGTTTACTATACAGTGCTGCATTTTTATTTATCTGCATTTATCTTGATTCCCCACTTGTGAACATAGCCTATCATCTCATCCTTCTGGGACTGAGAGATTAACTTTATCCAAATGTTCATCGGCCATTTTTCAAAAGGCAAATAGAATTCATTGAAACCCCACTGGACCCTAATGAAATACAACTTATGTCTACTTTTTTCAACACATTGAGCGGTATTCCAAAGCCAATCTGACCATCCCTCTGGGTAAGCTAAAACGCAGTTTCAGTCATGCCCCCAAGAAGGACTAGCCTGGAAAAATCAGTCCTGTGTCTTATCCCAAATGTGGTTTCTCCATAGTTATATGATACTAATCCCACTCTCCTTACTATCATATGTATACAGGGCCATGAAATAGGGGGTACCACTGGTCCTCCTGTACGGGGCCCAGACCAGCAGGATGGCCCAGAAAGCTGGGTGAACCCGATGTGGGTAGGGAGGGTGATTGGCACAGTGGGGGGGGAGGGGGCAATTACTGGAACTGATCCTCTGTATGGCTCTCTTTGCAGCACCTCCCAGAGCACCATACATTTCCCCATGCTGCCCAAGACCCCCCTGTGTGCCCCACCCCCCACCCCCCACCCCTTCAAACTCCTGCTGGTTTCTCTCCTTCCCAGCTGCAAACACACTATAGGATCCTTAGGAAGAAGATTGGGGGAAGAGTCCTTAAATATGTCACATTTATCAGGCCCTTCCTTTCCTGATTGAACACAGTGAGTCATACCTCTATACATATTCCAGTGAGGGATAACATAATTTTTGCTTTTTCTACAATTAGCTGTCATGTTATGATGCCGCTGTGAAAGACAGTGGGTGTGGTCACATTGCACTAAAATAGATAGATAGATAGATAGATAGATAGATAGATAAGAGATAGATAAGAGATAGATAGATAGATAGATAGATAGATAGATAGATATAGATAGATAGATAGATAGATAGATAGATAGATAGATAGATAGATAGATAGATAGATTTTTTTTATCTCTAAAGCAATAGGATGTTATTTGCATTACTATATTACTTATGTTTATATAAAAGTTATGAGTTCCTTTTGTGTGACATAAATGAAAATAGATACAGTATATCCAATTTGAGTAAACACCCTCTTTTTTCAACAGAAAATTTACCCATTGGAAGATTTCACCTCTATTTTTCATTTGCTGGTAACTTTTTTTGTTATCTTCCCTTACATAGCATTTTGGATTGTTTGTTTTGTATTACTCCAACTTTCAGATATTTTCACAACCTGCATTTAACTAACAGAAATTATGAGAATGTGAGACTATAGAAATGTCCTTCAGGGAGTACTAAAAGCACTCCTAACCCCACTTCCATAAATTCCCCACCCGTAAAAAATGTGGCTATTTTACTATTGTTGGTCCGTTGTTCTAATTTGACAGCTAAACTCCTGTCTTTTATGTTGTTGCTTGAAGGATCACACTGTCTTACTAAATGTATTACTTAGGACTTCCCTTACAATGCAGATAGTCCTTCACTTTGCAAAGATAATGTATTTGTTATTTATTTCACCATTTATATAATCATAATGTCCAAAGTGGCAAATTTCCGTCCAAGATCCATAATCTGACCCATAGCCTAGTTCTCCAATATTTGCAGGACTATCAAAAAACTATATACGGTATATGTTTCAGTAAATCATTGATATTCATGGGAAACTTCTAGCCCACCATATACATATAGGTATATTTTTATGTGTAGCATTATTATTACTAAAAGTTATATTACTAATTAATAATTTTTAGGTTTATGGGATAACTCATTTGGATGAATACACAGATTTATTTTATTACTTTTGCCATCTTTGAACATTTCCATCAAAGTTATACTGTTACAATTACTGTTTTGTATTATTTTTCTTAAAAGCTGAAATCCAGCCTTGCTGAATGTTTTCAATAGCTTTCCATTCTTCTCTCTGCTACATTAATAGTTTACTCTTAATTTAATGCACATATTTATTTATTACAGGTACTTACAGTATATTGTACATTCACATCAATTCCTAACCCTCCAGGGCACACAATCTAAGGTCCCTAACTCACATTCATATATACACATACTAGGGACAATTTAGACAGGATCCAATTAAACTAACAGCATGTGGGAGGAAACTGGAGTACCTGAAGGAAACCCACGCAGGCACAGGGAGAATATGCAAACTCTAGGCAGGTGGTGCCGTGGTTGGGATTTGAAACAACAACCCTGCTGCTGCCAGGTTGAAGTAGCTAACCATTTAGCCACTGTACTGCCCATTTAGCCTCTCACAGTGCACATTAAAAGCTACCAGATGACATACCACCTAATTTTCTTCCTTGAAGATGTACAGCATTGTCTATAACTACTCCCCAGCCTAACAGTCACTTTCCTGTCCCTTTAATTCATTGAATTTCAGTTCTTTCAATCATAGATGATCTGTTCTAATCAAATGTGAACATCATCTAGTTCAGACTTGTGGAATTTGTGGAATCCAATTAACTTTTGTTGTTCCCCTAGATACAACAAGAATTATTTAACCACTTTCCCTCCAGAGGATTTACCCCCCTTCCTGACCAGGCTATTTTTGCGTTACGGCGCTGCATTACTTTAACTGACAATTGCGCGGTCATGCAATGCTGCACCCAAATGAAATTTACATCCTTTTTTTCTCACAAATAGAGCTTTCTTTTGGTGGTATTAAATTGCCTGTGAACTTTTTATTTTTTTGCGCTATGAATAAAAAACTATTTTGAGAAAAAAAACAATATTTTTGAGTTTTTGCTATTAACGACTTGCCAACCCCACTATAGCCAGATGATGGCTACAATGCGGTTGTCCACTTCTGGGAGGGCATTGTGTGAAGTCCTCCCAAAGAGCACCTGGCGATCTTCGTGATCGCTGTGTCCCAGGAAAACAGCTGATCATGTGATGTAGTATAAGGCCAATCACAGAGGCATTTTACCACATGATCAGCTGTGTCCAATGACACAGCAGATCACCGGTAAATGTAGTTGCCAGTTATCGGCTGCACTTTCCTCACACTGTCACAACATGAAGAAAGTATTGCCGAGAACTGGCATTTGTCAGAAAACAGATCGACACTGATCATCAGTGCCCAGCAGTGCCACCCACAAGTGCCCAGCAGTGCCCCCATCAATGCCACCCATCAGTGCCACCCATCAGTGCCACCAGTCAGTGCTGTCAGTCAGTGCCACCCATCAGTGCTGCCCATCAGTGCTGCCTATCAGTGCCCATCAGTGCCACCTATCCATGCTCATCATTGTTGCATATCAGTGCAGCATCATCAGTGCGAGCTCATCAGTGCCACCTATTAGTGCCGCCTATCAATGCTGCCTACCAGTGTCCATCAGTGCTGCCTATCCATGCTACCTCATCAGTGCCGCCTATCAGTGCCCATCAGTGCTGTCTATCAGTGCAGCCTCATCAACGCACATCAGTGAAGGAGAAAAAATTACCTGTTTGTAAAATTTTATAATAGAAACAAAGAAATTTTTTTTTCTCTTTTTTTGTTTATAGCGCAAAAAATAAAACACCCAGCGGTGATTACATACCACTAAAAGAAAGCTCTGTTTGTGTGAAAAAAAATGATAAAAATTTCATATAGGTACAGTGTTGCACGACTGCACAGTTGTCATTTAAAGTGCGACAGCACTAAAAGCTGAAAATTAGCCTGGGCAGGAAGGGGGTATAAGTGCCTGGTAGACAAGTGGTTAAACATGTCTAGTAAAAAAATGTTAAAAATCAAATTTCGTCATAAATTTAGGACAAAATGTATTCTGCTCCATGTCTTTGCTAAAAAAAAATCCCAACACGTGTAAATCAATTGGTTTACGTGAAAGTTGGGCAGCACAGTGGCTAAATGGTTAGCACTTCTGCATGGCAGTACTAGGGCTGCTGGTTCAAATCCCAACCATGGCACCACCTGCCTGGAGTTTGCATGTCCTCCCTGTTCCTGTGTGGGTCTCCTGGTTTCCTCCCATACTCCAAAGACATGCTGGTAGGTGAATTGGCTCCTGTCTAAGTTGTCCCTAGTATGTGTATATATGTGAGTTTGGGACCTTAGATTGTACGCCCCTTGACGGTTAGAGACCGATCTGAATGTACAATATATATGTAAAGCGCTGCATAAAATGATGGCGCTATATAAGTACCTGAAATAAATAAGTAAGTTATAGCTTTTACAAATGGCAGTATATATACTGTAATTTTTTCTTTTTTTACTAGTAATGGTGGCGA